GCGCAGTGTCACAGGCCACACACACATGCACTTACAAGTGACCCAGCGTAGCCCTGCCCAGAGGTGAAAAGCAGGAGTGCACAGGCATGTGTATCCCGCAGGTCTGCCACCTCCCAGCAATTGAGAGGAAGGGCAGAAGTCCACATGTGGGCCACACATTAGAAACATTGGCATTACCTGGGAGCCAGTTAGGAAGACCACCTCACAGGCTCCCCGGCTTCATCCTTAAGTGCTGGAAAGGGGGCCCAGCCACCTGTTTTTTTTTTTGTTTTTTTTTAAAGATTTATTTATTTGTGCATACAGAACTGGGGTACAGGCCAGAGGCTCACGGGCGGTGAGAGGCTTCACCAGAGACAGAGGAGGGAGCAGAACAGGCAGATGGACGAAGTACACTGCTGAGGAGAGCAGTGGGCGGGTCAGGAGAGGTCTGCCGCGCCATGTGGTCACCTCCGGGGCAGGCGGGAATCGAACTCATGTGAAGTGGCTTTAGCTTCTCAGTGCTGTGCTTTAACCCGCTGTGCCACCAGGGAGGGCCCCTAGCACCTGTTTTAACCAGTTCCCCTAGTGATAGTCCTAGAGGAAATTCCATTTAAGCTGAACTCTAAGCCATGCTGATCAATATGGCAGCCACAGTCACATGTGACTGTTGAGCCCTCGTTGCATGGTCTGTCCAAGCTTAGGTGTGCATAGGTGTAATGTGCACACTGGTTTCATGTACTGTGGGGAACAGAAGGCAAACTATACTTCATTAAGAATTTCATTTTGATCATATGTTGGAATACTCTTTTGAACCTTTGAGCATTATCAAAATGGATTTCACCCGGTTTTCTTATTTTGCTTTTCTAAATATGGTTTTTAGAAAATCAAATTGGTGACTTGCATTTATGGCATGAATTTTATTTTGATTGGTCCTGGCACGTCCTGAAGCAGGACAGGGTGTGTGGGGGTTGTGGGGGAGAGGGAGGGTGTCCCATGCAGAGGCCCTGGGCAAGAACAAACATGGCATGTTCAAGGAAATAAGAGGCAATCAAAACCTTGCAAGACCCATTAGCGATTTTGAACTTTATCCTAAGACCAACAGGAAGTAATTGAGGGTTTGAAATAGGGTACTCAGTTTTCAGGAAGTTTGCAGCTATAGCTAAATATAGCAAGACTCTCAGAATCGAAGATTCTCTTCTCCCCCCAGAGGTAGTGGGGGAGGAAGGTATTTGGTCAGGAAGTATCCCTGAGAGAGCAGGACCCTGCCTATCGCCTGCCCTCCCCATGGGAGGCCCATGAACACACACACAGGCACACACACCCTAGGCAGGCAGACACACACAGAGACACACCCTAAACAGAGAAGATACCTAGGGAGAGGAAGTTTTGTGTGTGTGCATACACACAGGCAGAAACACACCCTAAACAGGCACACACACACATACCCTAAACAAGATATCTAGGGAGAGGAAGTTTTGAGTGCAGTTAATTTTCAGCTCACTTGAAGCTCAGAGCCAGAGGAAGCATTTCAGGAAGAGTCCAAAGTTGAGTGGGAGTCTGATTACAGAGCTGACACTCTGTAGGACGCTGGCAGAGGGTTGGGTGAGCGCCAGCCAGGGCCAAGGAAGCCGGCACAGATGGGGTTCGCTGGCCTGTCCTTGGAAAAAGTATCTGACAGTCGCAAGGCCTAGAGGCTTGAGGTCTGATCCTGTCACCCCACTCTGGCCGAGGGGAGATTCCCCCTCAAGGAAGAGTCCAGACACCAGCAGACTCAAATCAGCATGTTTTGTTTAGCTCACATTTTGAAAATGCATTAAGATTAGTTGCCAATATTTATAGCCAGTGTTACATAAAATGCACATTTCCAGGTTTTTCTTTTTTTTAATTGGGACATCAAGGAACCAGAATTCCTCATTCTCAAAAGGAAATAGTCTGGAGCTAAGGAGCTGTTTCGATGCTCCTTTGTGTGTGTGGATGTATGTGTGCATGTGTATAGGAGTTGAGGTGATCATTTTTAGCAAATGATAATTACTCTGAAAACAAAACAAAACCCCTCGTTTCTCTATGGTCTGACTCCAAGTCTGGTCTCTGTGGTCTTTGGTGTCAGCATCCCCCCTTCTTTGTTCTCCAGAGACCTTCTCAGACCGTCCCTTTAGTGCAGTGAGACCAGGTTGTACTAAAGCTCCATCTGTCGGAGAAGGTGTGTCCCCTGCAGCTCATAACTGCTGTACCACCCCGGCATCCACTCTTGGTCACACTCCTGGCTGGTCTTAAGGACACATGAGTTGGCAGCCCCTGCCTTCAGCTTTGAATGAAACTCACTTTAGTGTTGTGCATTTTTGGTAAACACTTAGTATACCAGCTCCTGAGACTATTGAAATCTTAACGAGTAAACAGTTTAAAACTCAACAGCTCCTTTGTACATAATCAGCAGTTAATGAAATAGGAAATGGCGGTTGACAGCAGTGAGGAGCAGAGAGGGAGTGACTGTTTCCCTGAGACGGATGTGCTAGCTTGGTACTGCTCCTGTTTCACCCCTGTGTGCCAGTGAGACAAAGTAAGCATGTTTGTAGTTCCTGTGGTTCTCTTCTGTGCAGGATGTGTGTTCTGAGGGGAGAAAAGAGAAATCGTTTTTTTTCTCCTAGTAAGCTGAGACAGCCATGTCTGGGAACAGCTGCCTGGGTGTTCATCATATTGTTGCTTCTTTTGTCCTCTCAACCTGCCTTGTCATCAAGTGGAGATGGAGAAGTGCTTCTGCCGACACCTGTCCATCATACGCTTCTTATCTGAAGGGATGACAGCTTCAGCCGTGGCTTGACCAGATGAACTGGGGTTGAGGTAGAGAAGCTTGGTAGCTTCTCCTTTCTCCGCCCCCTCCACGGAAGAATCAGTGGTGGTGAGCTGTGCATCCAGCTTTTGTTGTCTGAAGCTTCTACTTCTTGGTGGGTTGGAGCTCTCTGAAGATAATAATATAAACAGATCTTACTTTTACAAGTTCTCTCTCTCTTTCCTCTTCCCTCTCTCTCATCTACGTGATTCATTACTTGGCCTCTCCCACTGCCTTGACGGAGATTGTTCAAGGGAGGGACCCAGAGCTTGAATTTCACGAACTTCATGATAATTCTGTTTCTGGCTGCTAGTAATCCCCTGGCAGAAGCCTTTCTCCCGTCCTCCTGCTGCTTCAGTGCCTGAAATTCTCAGCTCTGCGTAGTACCCCCTACCCAGGCCCTTCTGGTCACCCAAGGCTTCCCTGCTCCACCTGAACTAAACCCGTAGGCTGAAGCTTGAGCAGAAGGGAAAGCCGTACACCTGTCCTGCTGCAGGCTTTCAAGCCCTTGCAACTCACACACCTCAGTCTGCTCCCCTCCCAACTCACACACCTCAGTCTGCTCCCTCCCACCCCACGCTGTTTGCCTTCAACTGAAATAAGGACGCCTAATATTAAAGACACTTCCCCTCTCAGAATCTCTAGGAATTACTAAGAAAAGGAAGAAACTTGATCTAGATTCCAGTTAACTTTGTCACTGATTGTTATATAATGGTGGGTGAATCACAGCTTAACTGGGACAGAAAATCTCCAGTTAATAGACTTTGCCAAGAGTGGCAGAAGACCAGGGCCCGATCTTCTTATAATCTTTGCTCCCCAGTGAGAAAAGCTGTGGGGTGGAGGTGGAGAGCCCCAGGCCTGCAAAGGCAGCTGTCAGTGGAGATTGTCTGCTGCCAGGGGTGCTGGCAGAGGGGTGCAGCCAGGGAGGCAGGTTCTCCTGGGGGTGGTGAGGGGCAGGGCCCAGAGGTTTTTTTGCCAGCAGCTTATACTTAGGGAGTTTGAAAGGGATTCCAGGTTGCCTGTCCCACTCTTCTAGATTCTTCTCCTGTCGAGAGGTGGCTGGTGTGTGTGTAGGACAGCAGAAGGGTGAGGAGGAGGAGATGGGGCCTCCTTATCAGGCCACTCGCTCTGCCTCCTCCAGGCCTGCCCCTGGTAATCTGTGTCTGTGGGCAGCACCTCCCAGCTGCTTGCATTTGATAGCTTGTTTTGCATCCGGATTTATTCCAGCTGAAGGTGTTTCTTTCTTTCTTTCTTTCTTTCTTTTTTTTTTAAGATTTATTATTTATGCATACAGAACTGGGGTGCAGGCCAGAGGTGCAGGGGGCGGTGAGAGGACTCACCAGAGACAGAGTGGGGAGCAGAACAGGCAGATCGAGGATGTACACTGCTGAGGGGAGCAGCGGGCGGGTCAGGAGAGATCTGCTGCGCCATGTGAGTCACCCCTGGGGCCAGGGATCGAACTCACACTGAAGCGGCTGCGCGCAGTTTGCAGTGCTGCGTCCTAACTCATTGTACACCCAGGGAGGGCCCCGAAAGGTGTTTCTTAAGGCAGGTAAGAAATTATTTAGGCAAGTAACACATTGGACATTGGGTGTTAATGTTACTTTAAACCACTTCTAATGCTGTTTGAATGCTCTGCCTTAGATTTTCTTGTCTAGATGTTCAGTAATTGTGGCGTTGAAGAACTAGTTGCCACCTGACACATCAATATGATGGTTCACTTGAATTAACATGTTTAGTGACGTCTGTAGGGTGAGGCTGGTATTCCTTTTTCCACTAGAGGAAAAACAAAGTGAGAAGGATGTCTTCCATTGAGAATCAGTTGCTAGGAGGTAGAAGTTCCCAGTTCTTGTAGATGTCTACACTCACTCTCCTAACGCCTGTCTTCTGGAAGCCCCGGCTGCTGGAAAGGCAGCATGCCATCAGAGTGAAGTGTTCTGTTATTTCACCTGAGACAATTAACTTACTATCCAGTCACCAGAAAATTTAAGTCAACTAGGTTCCCTGTAATTAATTGTTTGTACAAAAGGCCCATCTGTGCCATAGGCTGTGAGTTGCCGGATGTCTGATGTGAAAACTGTTACCAGGAAGCTTCCGGTCCATTTTAGGAACCGGCTGAAGCCCTGCTTTGCACTCTGAGGAAGTCAGTGGGGTGAACGCTCTGATTTCAGCCTTTTGCTGGTTCTCTTTACAGATGTATTGCTGCCACTGAGCGTCAGCCCACCCGGAAGCCCCAGGGACACTTGGTCGCCAAGATGTCTAAGTACAAACTGATCATGCTAAGACATGGAGAGGGTGCTTGGAATAAGGAGAACCGTTTTTGTAGCTGGGTGGATCAGAAACTGAACAGTGAAGGGATGGAGGAAGCTCGGAACTGTGGGAAGCAACTCAAAGCCCTCAACTTTGAATTCGACCTTGTGTTCACGTCCGTCCTTAATCGGTCCATCCACACTGCCTGGCTGATCCTCGAGGAACTGGGGCAGGAGTGGGTGCCGGTGGAAAGCTCCTGGCGCCTGAACGAGCGTCACTATGGAGCCCTGATTGGCCTCAACCGGGAGAAAATGGCTTTGAATCACGGCGAAGAGCAAGTGAGGCTCTGGAGGCGCAGCTATGGCGTGACGCCCCCCCCCATCGACGAGTCTCATCCTTACTACCAGGAGATCTACAGTGACCGGCGGTACAAAATGTGTGACGTGCCCTTTGACCAGCTGCCACGGTCCGAAAGCCTGAAGGATGTTCTGGAGAGACTCCTTCCCTTCTGGAACGACAGGATCGCCCCCGAGGTATTAAGTGGCAAAACCATCTTGATATCTGCTCATGGAAATAGCAGCAGGGCTCTCCTGAAGCATCTGGAAGGTACGATTTTAAGGTCTCTATGTACTCGAGGTGGCTAAGCGCTTGGTTTCCAAGCCACCCGTGAGCCCTTGACATCAGTTCCCTGGGCCCCTTTGTCACTTCAGCCTTTTAAGACTCAGGTAGTTCTCCAAGTCCAAAGCCCGCCTGTGTCTGTGACATTCCTGTCTTCCAGTCCAAAGCAGTGAAGGTCAAACTCTAGTTGGCACCAGGATCCCCTGCTGGGAGCTGGGCCTGCGGCTGCCATGCCCGCTCTTGCCTTTCTGCATCTGCAGGGCTGCCCTGCCACCCGCCACCTCTGCATTTCTAAGACGTTTTCAGTGATGCTGAGATTGCTGTTTGGGGCTGTGCAGAGCGAGACCACTGATCTAGGGGTTACATGGCTTTGGTAGGAAAATAGAAGGATGCTGGGTGAGGGGAGACATTTCTGTGAAATGGCGTTTGGAGTGGAGTTAATTACGTTAATCCATGTTATGTTAAGTAAGAATGATCTTCAGTTCTTTAAACTTTCCTCTGTGGTTGCTATGTTGGCAGGCCTGGGTTTACCGAACAGATTTTTTTGCTCCAGTTCTCTCTTTGCAGATCAGGCTTAGTCACTGATTGGGAGGAAGAAAATACAAGGATTAGAGATCATCTTTTGCCTCAGTTTTGTTATTACTGCGTGTGGGTGTTTTCTAGATCTTTTTCTAAAATGTGCTGTATTGTTACCTTTCTCTTAAGAAACATGAACTGAGTGAACTCTTTTGAAGGACTCAAGCTCCTCATTTTCAGGTCCCGGCGACTGCACTAAGACACCTTCAGATTTCTTACTCCATCCCCATCACTAAGTAATTCCCAAAGGTGGTGATTTTTGAGTATCTGCTCTGTCTGGTATTTTCTCGCCTACCCTCACACCCTCAGCAGTCAGCTCATGGGTACTAGGATACATTTCTCCAGCCTTCCCTTTCCGTTCTGCTTTACTGCCTACAGAGGCTGTGTACAATGAAGAGGTTGACACTGGGTGTGAAATAAATGGAAATAGGTTAGTGGAAACAAAATGAGATCTTAATGTAAATTTTTAGCGTGTGTTTTCTCCTTTAATTTTTATGATGCCGCCATTGGCTATACAGAGATCTAAAATCTCTAGACTTTATTGGCTATTAAGATCTTTATTGGCTTGACATGGTGCTCAGTTTGTGAGTGAGAGAGCATGTGTGTGTGTCTTACTCAATTCTATAAAGGAATCTATTTTCTCTCGTTTCGAGGAGTCAGATATTTGATTAAATGATCTATGATTTCATCATTATTGGGCCCTAGTAGTCTATTGTTGGAAGATGACCCTCTTTACTTCCTCCTTTAACTAGGAAATTCTCCCTTGAAAAGTTTCCTGATGTTCAATACCATTTATTCTTCTCCTATTTTCAGGATTAGATTATTCCACAGGACCACTCATAGCTCAGTCTAGATACCTAGTAGTGCTTTGATGATATACTTATTTGTAGCTCTTTTCTTTTGGAAGGAAGGAGGGAGGTTACAGGAGATAATTCTCACAGTTCTGGGGCTAGAAGTCCTAAGGAAGGTGTTGACAGGGTCATGTCCCAGCTATAATCATTTCTTGCCTCTGCTGGCTTATCACTGCATCACTGCATCCTTCTGCCTGCAGTGGGTGTTCTCCCTGTGTGTCTCTGTTTCTTGTCCAAATTTTTTTTTTTTAAGATTTATTTATTTATACATACAGAGCTGGCGGTACAGGCCAGAAGTGCAGGGATGTGTGTGAGAGGATTCACCAACACAGAGTAGGGAGCAGAACAGGCAGGCTACGAAGTACACTGCTGAAGGGAGCAGCACATGAGACAGGAGAGGTCTGCCGTGCCAGGTGGGTCAGCTCCCTGGCTGGGATTGAACTTGTGCCACAGCGGCTACAGATAGCTTCATAGTGCTGTGCTTTAACCCATGGTGCCACCAGGGAGGGCCCCAAACCTTCCCTTTGTATAAGGACATCAAAAATATTAAACCTCTTTTTTACCTTGACATATTTCCAAATAACATTGCATTCGGAGTCACTGGAAGATAGGACTTCAACGTATCGTTTTTGGGGGAGGGACTCAATTCAACCCATAACAATACCTGGAGAAATGAAAACATATATCCACACAAAAACTTGTACACAAACCTACATAGCAGTATTAACTGTAATAGCCAAAATGTGATAGGCACCCCAGAACACAGCAACTAGTGATTAGGTGAATTAATTGTGGTATAGCCATACAGTGGAGTAGTATTTAGCAATACAAAAGAATGGCATGTGCTATAGGGTGAGCTTGAAAAACCACTGTTACATGAAAAAGCTGGTCACAAAAGATCACATATTGTTGATGCCATTTATGAAATGTCCAGAATGGGTAAATCTATAGAGATTATTTCTTTTCTAAGGCTAAAGTGGAGGGTTTGGGGGAGGGAAGGTGCTAAAATGAATAGTGACTGCTGATAGGTATAAGGTGTATTGTGGGATGACAGAAATATTCTAAAATTAATTGTGATATTTGCATGTCTTAACAGACAAAGAGCCCACTGAACTGTACACTTTAGTAGGGTGCATTTTATGGCATGTGAATTATCTCTTTAAAACTGCAAAAAGAATTTAACCAATGGGATTGAAAGATAAAAGGATTTAGCGCTGGCCTAACAAAGAATAGTTTAGTGCAAAAATATGGAAGTGATGGCAAAGTAGAAATGCTTGGATGTGGTATACAGAACAAGGAACAAAGGGTTTAAAGCACAGCTTTGACCTGTGGGTCAGAGATGATTTAGAGATCCTTGAGAAATCAGCATTCATTCATCCTTAGGCTCCACTTAGCCTTACTTCAGAAGGACTCTTTAAAAGTCCTGGACCTAAATTACCTTTCAGACATGAGTGAGACTGAAGCAACCTTAAATTCTAATTCCTATTCCTATTACTGTGAGCAGGCTTTGTGTGTGTGTGTGTTGGGGGGGAGCTTTTATTTCTGACATAATTGATTTAAAACAATGGTGTTTGTGCTGGAAGGAGGTAAATTGTACAAAGAAGATTCGATTAGCAATTCTTGAAAATGGAAAAAGATGGAGGGCTGGCAGATGTCTGCAGGAGAGGAGAGCAGTGGAGCTGAGGGAGGTTGAAGTAGAAATGGTAAAGCAGGAACCAAGGAGCTTTCCCTGGCGGACATTCATGGGCAAATGGCAGAAAAGCCAGAATATGCCATTAGCCTCTAGTCAAAGGGGGGGAAACAAAGTGGGTGTGAGGTGTGGGGTATGTCCGTAGTAGCTTGTAATGTTGGCTCCCCATTCTGGGCAGAACAACTTTGTTCCTTTTTGGCTTACAGTACCCCCTGCTGGTCCCGTTGTTGAAGATTCATGGAGTTCTTGTTGCTTTATTCCGTAGAAACACCTAACTCCTGTGGAAGAAATGATTCCATGCGATGAAATAGACTGAACTGGATTTTAGGATCACTGTGTACAGTAGACTTTTGTTTTAAGAGTCCTCAAAATGCCAGTCACCACGAATAGTATTTCTTTTATAGTGTATATTGAAAAATAAAAGCAAAGTATTCTGTCAGCTGTGAGAATTAAGTATAAGTAATTTTCCAAGATCAGAAGAAATTGCTACATTATTTCTTCTCTATCATTCCTGTTAACTGAGTATGTTTAAATCTCATTCCTAGTCGGGCCCTTTAAATCTCATTCTCGACTAGGAACACCAGCGGTAGTTGTTTGCATGTCTGACTTTCAAAAGTTCAGTTACAGGATTTCACATGATACTTGACAAAGGCCCAACTAAAAGAAAACATTCCACTGAATTTGGATGCTCACTTCTCAAGACCTTAAAAATTAAGTGATTTTCTTTAGTTTAAGACAAAACCAGATTCCTTCTGAAAGGAAGAGCTTTTCAGTTGCCAATATATTTGTGTGTGTGTGTGTGTGTGTGTGTGTGTTTATGGTGCTAAAATCCTATGAAATTTATCATCTTAAATGCCAGTTTGTTTACACCGTAAAGTTATATGGCCAGAGGCCTCCCCATATTTTCTATTTACTACCTGCTATCCCTGTACCATTCGTAACTTCCCTTTGAACAGTGCCCCAGTTTGGACTTTACCTTACACGGTCACCTGATTCTTAAGTTGTTAGCTTCCAGTACTGCTAAGAATAACACCTTGAAATGGGTGTCACGAGATTCTGTTTAATCTATTAATTCTTTGCATGGATTACAAAAGCAAAAATGTGTGTAGTTGTATAGTCATCTGATACCTGGCTATGTTTTCTAGTGCCCATTAAAGTCTCTCCTACTAAATAGAACCTTTGAAGGAATTGGGAGTGATTTTTTTCCTCCATCAATCTTAAAATGCTTGATAGACAAACCATTTTACCTCCTGCCAGGGAGGAGAGGTAGCTGTTAGGACCGGTGCCCGCCTACGGTCCTGCACAGTCCTAGCCTGGCGTTACTTAGGATCTCAGCACTTTGAATGGGAATTCCCTGGACTGCTCATTGTGTCACCAGAATTCCCCTTTACAGTCCTTCCTAAGAATTATGTGGAAGCTTCCACACTTGAAGTTTTGTCCTTGTAGACCATGAGGTCCCTGGTGAAAGCTTGTCCACCCCAGAACTGCTTCTGCTCATTCCTGCCACCTCCCCTCACCTTACTTGACTCGTCTCTTCCTCCTCTCAATCATCTAGTCCAGGATCAGGTCAGCAAAGACCTACTGGAGTGAACCAGGAGAAAGTCACAGCAAGAGGCCAGTGTCCCTGACTGGGAGCCAGGTCACACTCTGGTGTAAGAACTGCACACATAGGAACCATGTGAGCACCCTGCAGGGGCTTCTTGCCTGATAAGGATGCCTCTCCCCCGTGAAGTTCCTTGTTTTTAGCTTCTCTCTGCTCTTCGGTTGTAGATCATTCAGGCTTGGCTTACAGAAGAAAGATTCACAACAGCCCGGTGACATGGCACAGAGTAAGGAAGTGCCTGTCAAGTGGACTGCTTCATGCATCACTT